ACACGGGGTAGGAACATATTTCCAAAGTTTCAGCCTCCCAGCTTTCCTGGTTGCTGAGATGAAAGTAGGTAACAAAATGCACCCGCCTTCCGAGACACAAACACACATAGACAGCCTCTCGACAATATGCATTTTTGCTGGCTGTAGCAGCGCTATAGCGCTGTCTAGCAAAAACGCATAAAAATACATAAAAACTGGTAATCATTTCGTCCTACAATGCAACACCTTCATCCCAACCAATGCCCTTTTTCCTTCACGCCGGAGGAAGCCAGAGCGCGGCCAATATGAGCTCAAGTATAAGGCTACAGCGCAGGAATCATTCCTGCTATCAGCGACCTGCGAGTTTAGTGCAAGAACGCATGATCGCAACGGCAAGCCTGGTGTGTTCCAGCTTGGATTTTAAAAAGTATTTTAAATTTTTAGTAGTCGTCTTAATATGCTTTGATGGTCTGATCAATACTTTTTCATTGCCATGCCCCTTCTTGCCAACGGTCTGTCTGCATTTTCTCGATTCTGTGTTGCGCATTCACGTTATTTCATAAAAGTGTCCTTTCATTTCATTGAGAGGCATCCTCATACCTGTTAAAATTAGCTGTCGTATTTTTTCCGATCGTTAGTTTTCTTTCGGTGAAGTTGGAAGAATGAAAAGGAATATGTCAATCTTCGAAACTGTTAGCAGCAATAAAATGTCATGTTATTTTTGAAATTTAACACTTAAGCAAAGCTTTTGGAATTTCTGGTTTCCAAATGCATACCTCATCTTCGCCGACGCTTTCCGCAAATCGAATACCGCCTTTAGTGGGCATTCGATGTTCACTGTGTTGCGCCCGCCAAGCTTCAATTAACTCGAATGTACCATCCTCACGTCGAATTGGGAATGTTATGTGCAATACCTAAACTGTCTTCACTAAAATAACCTTAGAACTGCGCAAAAAAATACAAAAGTTCTCCTCAATTTAGATTTTTCGTTATTTTCAAAAAATATTTCGTTGATTAGTATAGTGTGCAGATGCAAAACGTAATTATTGGGAAAAGCAGAAAGCTAACGCCTGCCGCAATCAAGAGAACGTTGCAGCGAAGACGTTTGGCGCTCCATTTCTTCGCCACATATGCAATCAAATGCCTTTTGAAATGGGCTAGCATGTAAAATAACATCGTTAGCTAGAGAGGAAGTTAATTTCGCAAAGCACATTGTTTTTT